ATATTTAAGTAAATAAGAAATTTGTGGTGTGCTTAGTAAAATTTGTAGTTGGTAATATAATTACCCATAAGCAAATATATTTATAGAATAACTCTAGTCACCGGTACTTTCTCTATCCTATACTCCTAATAAGTTCCATGCGTATCGAGAATTCCTCAATTTCTCTTATTTCTCGATCGCGTCACACCTAATCCAATTCTACTTTTTTCTATGATATGCAATTCGATTCACATTCAAACAATTTCATCGCATCAGATTCGGAGAAAGAAATCAGAAAATAATAAGAGAATCCTGTCCGGTTGATCGATCAGGTTGGTAGAAATCTTTTCCATTTCATGTGTCATTGAATTCATATGTATTGATTCCCTTTTAATAGGTTATTTGGGATTGAGTTTTGAGTGAAAAAAATAATGCTTGGAGTTAATGGTTGAGTCTTGTTGTGATCAAATTTTATTTGGTCTGTTTTCGGATTTATATGCTTGGGTTTTATTTGGCTTTTAGTGTCTCACTCTTATTGGAATTAGAACGTTTTCTCAATTAATTCATGTTTATATTCGTACAGATTTTTGTGTGTGATATAATTACATGTACAGGTGAATGGTGGGTAGTTTTCGTTTGCAGAGGCATTTGATTTGTATTGATTATATACCAGATTGACAATGGAAATTAATAAATCATGATCTTTTGAACGAGACGTAGAGGATCCAATGACATGTAATCAGAGGGCAGCCCTTGGCCCCCAAAAAAAAAAAAAGAAAAAGAAAAAAAAAATTATGCAATTTTAATAGATTTTACCCCAAAATAAAATTTTAGCCCTCCTGGTTTACAAGTCCAGCAGCCAATTAATGGTAGGACAATCCTCAACACAAACTAATTTAAGAAAGAGAAGCCCACCACTATTAGTTACAGAATCAAAAACCAAAATCACGATCAGCAATTAAATAGGTGAACCGGTGATGAACAACATGCGATGAAGCAGAGGAAGAAACTTTGAACTCTTTATCAGGAATCTAAAATTTCAACCCATAACGTCTAGGGGATGATGAATTTCTGGTTAAATTATGTGG